ACCACACCACAAGCACCAAACCACAAACACCAAGCCCCAAACACCAAACACACACACACCAAACCACAAAACAACACCAAACCACTAAACAACATGTGGCAGGGCAGGACGCGTTCGATGATCTCTGGTCGCTGCTCCTCTTCAAAAGACGTGTAATGGATACCGGTGCACTCTGGCGTGACAGGCTCCAGGCTGCTTTTGTATAGCTCTACGTCTCTATGGTTACTCCATGAAACGCGCGTCGCCCCTTGGCGCGGACAGCGCAGGCCAAAGCGTTTGTCGCGAGAAGCTCGCCAGGGCGCGTGGGGATGATCTCCGTGCTCGCGTGGAAGCGTGAACATGCGTGTGCCCGTGTAGGGCGGCGACTCATCTTCCGAAGAGTCCATGGAGAATCCCAAGGTTGAGATCACAGAGAAGAAGCAGGCTATGGGGTCTTCATCTATGGCGGCTGGAGCCTCGAAATCTAAGACCGCTTGGCAACTGTGACGCTACCCCACCTTGCAGCAGCGAAGGAAGGTCTGCCAACCAAGGTGCCACCAATAAAATTGTGATGATTTCACGTGGAGCACCAAAGACATCACGTGGTTTTGCACATGACTGGCACGTGCAAGTCGACGCCCTGGCATCTTAGCGTCGAAAACACAAAAAGAACAAACATACCGCAAACACCAAGCCACGCCTTGCCAAACCACAAACCAATGTCGCCAGGGTGGCCAGAAAGCACAGCAGGCGAGGATGTAATATCATGATGAGAGGAAGGTGATGAGTATGGCAACACCACGAACGTCATTTCGCCACACGGTGGGCTTCACAGACTGGAAAAACAACACCGACCCTCGTGGGCTCCCCAAGCCGCATTTACATCAGAATGGTTTCCTTCATGCTTTCAACAGACACAAGGGGCTTTGCCGCAAATCGTACCCTTTTGAAGGTGCTGAACAAGAAAAGGGTCTCAGGACCTCTTGCTACGGCCTCAAAGGATAAGGATGAACGGGTATTTTGATTGTACCACCGGAGTCCTAATGCCCATACAAAGCTTAAAGTTTGGAGAGAATCTCAAATACAAACATCATGGTAGTACGACCACTACCCTGTGAGGGATACAGGCACATGGGTGAGGACAAAATAACTTGCGATGACACGCGACTGCGACAACGGAAAACATGTTAGTCTTCTCTTAATTGCCGTTCCCTCTCGTCGTTGTCAGGACCAGCCCAATGGAGGTGTTCCAAGTAACCCTTGACAAAATCAATGGACTCAAACGCATGCATAGTATGTCCACTCTGAAGCATATTTATGGTTTGGTACCATCTTGAACTGGTGCCCTACCAGCCCCGAACCAGGACCCACAAGGCCGCTTTGGTGCCAGGCCTTTTCAGACGCCATGGCGCTTAAGGCTTAAGCAGCGGCTTGGGTGTGTTCTTTCCCGCTTTCGGGCCCCGTGGATGGGCCAGCATGTGACACGTGTGATGGGCTGCACGTGTGAGTGTTGTTTTTGCCAGGCCATCTGGGAGCAGTTGCTCAAAGATTTGGGCAATTCTGTATTGGATCCAGGATGGTTGTCAGGGTATGTTGCAATTGTTCCCTATTTCAACACCCCGTGAGGGTGGAAACCCCAGATCTGCTTCGGAGTCAGTGTGTAGGTTTGTATGGTGAGGCCTTGTTGTGGGCGACTGGCTTGGGCATCTTCTCTATTTGAGAACATAGAGGTTCAACTTTCCCGGCAAAGGCTGAACTTGGTGCTCCCCACAGGTGACTTGGTCAATCTAGTTTTGTCGATTCCACACTTGGAAACGCCTTCCAGATCACTCACCTTCCAAACTTCAGTTTGAGCTGCACATTGGCTGGCACATGCTGGCACACAAACACTTGACAAGAATCCATGGCGCTACGGATAATTCCGGACTTTCAGTCTTGCAACCATAGTGTGGCGTGCAGGGTCCTTGGAGATCTCTGAATGAACAAACATGAGAAGACACATTTGGCTTCTAAAAAAAAGGCCAATGACATCCAATGACTGGGGCCTTGGGTCCCTATAGTCATCGGTCTATCAAACCATGTCAAAGCAATCTGTCCCTTTAGGATTGTGGGGTCCATGGGGTCCATATGGCGGGCCAAAACCCGGAGTTGCCAAACCAGGGTATTCTGTTCATTCTTGGTGGTCAACCAAGGTGTCCCATGTCTTGACTCACACCCATCTGGGGTCCATGACGGCATCTCCAAGAATTCCGAACTTCGACTCCGAACTGCGAAACCTTCGGACGACGGAAACGACACACACACACACACACTGCTGTCATAACCGGTAGAACCAACAGTGAAGAACATGGGTGTGTATCAAAATAGGGAACACCCCCAAGATTCCCTGGAAGAAGGGAAATAGACCAAAACCCGTTGGGGGCCGGGGTCTTCCTATTAGAATACACGCCCACATGAACACAGCTACGACATGAACACAGCTCCGTTTCAAAGGCACAGCTCCGTTTCGAAGGCACTATAGACTATGTAGTAGGTTAAGTTCATCTAGATAGGTTCAAGATGGTTCAAGGTTTGCTTGCGAGGTGTAAGCAAATGACCGCAATCTGACGACAACACAAACCCAAGTATGGGATCCCTGATCACACCTGGCGAACATGACTACTTATTTTCTTCAGTGAGCCCCAAACCATCGCGGGCAGCTCAGGGGCTTGACTTGCCACGAAATGAACAGAGTGCCCGATCGCCGCGATCACCTCCCGCTCTCTATATAAGCTCCCAAACCTCGTGGGTGGGTCGCACTATGTCGTTGTAGAATCAAGGACAACCCCCTCCCACGCTCCTTTTCCAAGCTGAAAATCGATCAAACTGATTGGATCTAACGGTGCGTTGATTGGGTACGATCGAAGAAGGGAACCACCTGGTTCCAGCTCATGTTGTCTTGTTTCTACAGGTGCTTTGGTGTTGACATCGAAAGGACACAAGAACAAACACAAACCACAACAACAACAACAACATCATCATCATCATCATCACCAACACACACACACACGCAAAAACAAACAAACAAACAAACAAACGAACAAACATATTCTACCGGAACAAAACCTTTAGGTGACCAGCAGTTAGGGCTTTTGACCGGCATAAATCCCTGGTCTCCCGACATGAAAACATAAAGACTCAATCAGAAGGGATCAGCATTCGCCATCCACCATGAACTCAGCAAAGCAACAGCTAAGCCTGTCGGGGGAAACGAGGCGAAGCAAGACCTTTTTTTGAACCTGGCAATGCCTGGCAATGGCAACCCCAAAAACAATCAATTGGGCGGAACAGCAGTGGGGCCCCAGCTGGAACATGCTGTACTCATAACTTCATAACTACTTTACATTCATACCGACCCAATTGAAAAATACTGTATAATTATATTATAATATAGAGCAAATTCGGTGGTGGCAGCATGTCTTGGAAACCGCCTCAAGTTCAAACGGCCACGAAGAAACCTCTCTCTCACCGGGGATGGGTCGCCCACCTAGAGCCGACCAGTCCACCGATGTGCACCATGTGCTGCGAAGGACCGACACCAGGTAAGGTCAACCAGTCGGATCCTGCGACCCATGGCGCCATGGTGGTCAAGACCTGCCAAATGGATCCCTGGAATAGAAATTGAAAGGATCACATCTTCTTCCACCTGTTCTTTTGGAACCGGAACACCGCATTCTCGAAAAGGTTGGACAGGTTATCCACGTACTTCCTGGGTGGTATGAAGCAGCAATTTGTAGTGTTCTCTCCTTCTACCAGTATCAGTGCACCAACACAACATCCATCTAATTGCAAAGCTCAATCTCAGAAATGTCCCCAAACAACCCGAACAAAAAAGTGAGAGTGATTGAAAGTGCCTTAACTCGCTGGTATTCCTTGGATATCATTGGATCCTCTGGTAGATGCACCAGGAGGACAAGTCCCCTGTCATCAATCGGCCAATCACCACACCCCCACTTCAAGCAATTCCACGCATTCGCTTTCGCTGGTTCGCATAGACACCCCGATGGATCACTGCAGTCCGCCTCTGGAAGAATGGATTACTGGTCTGCTGTGCATGGCATGAAGACTCTTGAGGAGGACATCCTCTTCATATGGGGGTTGATTTGAATCAAGAGTCTGCATGATGCTCCCGGCGTCTTGGCTCTGAGTAGGATGGAATCTACCAAAGCGTCCGCAAGGCGCCTCGTCGCTGGGTGAGTGGGGACACATTGCAACGTGGGTCAGAGCGAGACAAAGCCTAGTACTTGCAAGTGGAATACACATGACACTTGCGAGCATAAGGTTATATATGCAACCAAATGCAACCCAAGTCTTGCGGGTCGTCTCATGTGGTTTCTGTTTTCGTGTCTTTTGGCTGAACCAAACACCACGAGTCGGCCCAGCCACGCCCCGAACCGGGGAAGGATCCTAAAGGACCCCTCGGTTGCGGGTCACGGCAACTTACGTAGGTCACATCACAGTGGGTCCGGGGCCCCAAGGGCCAGCAAAAATGAATCGTTTAGTACAACCATGGTGAAGGTGGGGGAGGGCCATGCGACCTTCAAAACCAAAACTCTTGTGCAAGGCATTGACGGGGCAAGAAGAACGAGTCTGAGAAGACCGTCGGCGGCGATTGCATACAAGCGACATCAGTCATCAAACCTTGTACTCAACAGGGTTGAGGTCAGTAGCAAAGATTAGCTAAAAGCATGCGGGAACAACTCGGTTGCTTTGCCCTAATATCCGCGCACCACCACTCTTTTTCACACTGTCTGCGTTGAATGTCGGTCGTGGCTTGGCCTGGCGCAAGGTTTGTGATCCAAGTGAAATGAACTTGAGAAAGGAGGGGGTGAACGAAAGGTAGCAGGCAATCACAAGCAACCCTGGTAAAAGTCCACGACGGCGTGAACTGGCGCAGGGGGGATTTGATCCAGGGTGGGGGCCCCCTCCCCCCGGTGAACAGAATCAACTCTTACAGGACCAAATTCAATGCACAATCCAAACTCCTGATTGTAATACATCTTGCTAAAGCAAGGAGAACTCAAGTAGCTCAAGCTACCTTTCGTGATTTGTAATGATCCATGCTTACACTAAAATGAAGAATAAGAAAGCACATCTTTGGTATGAAGTCTTCGCCGAACAAAAGCTTCCTCCATCAGAAAAATCGTATTACAAACCTCTTTTTTGACAACCTACTCTGCGCTGAAAGCAAACACCATTTTTCGGACATCAGCCAGCAAAGATCGTGTCTCTTTCCTTTCTCCAAAGCTGCCCTTCTGAGCTTTCCAGCCATTCTGCCAAAGCAGCCTTCTTGGAAGAAGGCGCCGAATTGCGCATTTTTTGTTTTGACAATCGTACAGTCATTGGTGGTGGCTCAAGAATTTCTTTACCGACATATGGCTTCAATGCTTCAGAAATGGTGCTTGGCAAATCCACAGGGAGAGAATCATGCAGGCTCCGTCTCCGAGATTCGCGGATGTCCCGGGTCTTCAAACAGGAAGAGCCAACCCACTCGTCTGGAATAGCAACTTCCAGAATATCCATCGAGGCGTGGCCAAACAATCCATCATAGCACCGCCCCGCTTCTTGGGCAGCCACACGCATGGCCTGGATTTGTTGTACTGGCAGAGCTCTCTGGTTGCTAGACACCCGAATTTTAGCTTTCTCAAGAATCTGGCACACAATTTTGACGAGCAAGCGGTCTCGAGGAGATCCAAAGATGCAAGATACGCGAGCTTGCCTGGTAGGCAGAACAGACTGCGATATGTGGGCGCCTCTCTCTCTCTCTCTCTCTGTTTGTGTGTCTGCGGGCCGAGTGTGCGTGGAGGAGTATGTTCCCTACAAAAAGGAAAACCACGTTAATGGAAAAGTACTTAAACCTTCTCAGATGCTGCAGAAGGGCTTGGTCGATCAAAGGTTGAGGTGCATAATTTTGAGATGGGTTCCATGCTCCGTGCAACAAGCTTCCAACATGCTCGCATGGTTGTTCGGGAGGATCGAGCAAGCGGCAATGATGATGAATTCGAGCAGCATGCCACCCAATTTCTTTACTGCGATACTTCCCCACAGTGTTGTGCCCCATGGCAAAAAAACGGTGTTTATCCAGCGCGAGCGACACGGCCTGATGGTTGATTGCAAACTGTACTTCAACGACAAGAACGAGCTTGCGAGGTCGACCAGCATTGTTTGCCAGCGAAAGAATACTTCCCACAGAGATTGCTCGAGGGTCGTGCAGCACACGCTTTCTTCGGCGGAGATTGGTGCGACAGGTTGCCTCCACACAAAAATGTTGGAAGGACACCGTTCTCTTTATGTTCTTTATATAAATTATTGCAAAATAGACAAAACTACATTGGATCCGGCAAGACACAGGAAACAAAGAAGTGGCACTCACACTTAGCTCAGGTTGACTGGGAAAATCAAGGCTGTCGAATTTGCCCAGGAAAGCGGACACCAGCGTAGCAGTTCGGGTCGCATACAGACTGGATTTGAAAACAGCCTGGAAGCACTGCAACAAAGGGCTAAAGACCCAGCATGGAGACACCAAGCACATGGAGGGCGTGCTCCAGGCAGCAGCGGACAACAAGACATCTGCAGGGATACCCGAAGCATTCGATGTTGCATACTGCGTTTGGGCAACCATCCGCACCCGCTTCAAAAGCATGCCATACGACAAAATAAGTTCACCCCTTTTGCTCCAGGATCTGCGAATGCCAGGCCACAAGTTCCTGACAAGTGACAGAAATGATAGGTGTAGAAAACAAAAATCAATAAGCAAACGAACAAAAAACAAAAAAACAATGCTTTACAATGGTTATGTGTTTGGAAACAAACAAGCAAACAACAAACAAACAAACAAACAAACAAACAAACAAGGCTTTAAACTGGTTTGCGCTTAGCTTCTCATCTGGCCACGCACTGTGATCTAAAGTGCACTTGAGAGAGTCCACCAGTCTCATGAAAGCATCCACATGTCGGTTTAAAGGTTTATTGTGCAACAGGAAGTCCCAATCCCAAGCTTCACATGCGTCAGAGAGGAGACGCTGCATGTGCTCGTTCACGCCAGCATCGCCAAGAGCGGCTTTGATGTTTTCTTGCAAATTCTTCAGAAAGCCCAAAGATGACGTTAAAGAAGCTTGTATGTCTGCATGCTGCTGGTACACTGTGATAGGCACCTGGCACCCCTTTCTGCGAAACATGTCTGGTATGCCTGTTGGCTTTGGAGTAGGACACACCTGAAATCTTGGAGTTTGGGCCTCTGTAGCTGTATCTTGGCTGGTGCTTGCGATTGCAGCCCCATAAGCCACCCACACTGGAACAGGAATTTCGCGATGTCTTTTCCTCTTCCGGGAAGCTCTCACTACCGAAATCAAAGGCAATTCTTCTGGCTTGGCAGCGTTGTTCAAATGAGCTAATTTGCTCGCGCACTGGCAATGCGGGCTAAGACAAATGGAGCCCTGTTCCAATGGCAAATCTTGCTGTTGCAAGGCGCACTTGCCCAGCATGGGCGGGCTTTTGGTGACCAATCCAGGCAGGCGCAACCAAAACTCAAAAATCAGTCGAGCAGACGATTGGCTAGACCGCGCCACGATGAATCGAGCAACCTCTGCTCTTGACAAATGCGGGCGAAGCAGCGCAAGGATTGCAAGGAATTTGCTAGCCTCTTGGATACTGGCCACCATACGATCAATATTTTGCAACATGCGCATTTCGGCTTTGCGAAGGACCCACGGCTCGACCGCTTTCTGGGAGGCCAAAACATATGGTCGCACACAGCTCTCGAAGGCCGACTGGAAAACCAGAAGAAAAGCCACCTCGTGCAATCCATGATCAGCGTTTTACACAGATGGTCCAGTTGCTTCTCCGAAACGATACTCTACAACCATATTCAGTTCATGTTCATACATGCTGCTTTGAAAAGCAAAATTTACTCGTTACGCACAATGTCGCGCAACAAAATCTTGCTTGCAGCTTAGTTGCAAAAGACAAGGAACAAATTCGACGTCCAACTGACAGCAAAGTTGCCAGGGTCTGCTTTCCATGCCCTGACCTTTTCCACGCTATGCGGCCATGGAGGCCGAGGATGTAAGCTGGCAGATTTCGCGCAATGTTGCCTGGTACCTTGCTTAAGTGCCCCACTTTGCGCGTGCCGCCTGCACGCATGGTGCTTTGCGGTTTGTCCTGATCAACAGGAAGCAATTCGCCTACGGCTCTTAACAAGAGCTTGCCTTCTCCAATGCCAAACAATGAGTCAAGAGCTGCAGCAATGTCAAAAATTTCTTCTGCCGCGCTGCACTTTAATATGGACTTCCAGACTGCACGATCGACTTGGTGGAATCCTATCAGGCTCCAAATTGTGAAAGCAATCAGTGCGACACCTCATTTGTCTTTGCAAAAAAATGTCAAATACTATTGTCTACTCATTGCCAAGGTTCTGTCCCACGTAGTGCAATGAGACACTTCACCTGGATGAATTTCAGCCCAAATTTTCTCACAGGCTCCGCTCGAAGAATGTTGTGCGAGACGACCGCCTTGACATAAAGCACCATCGCCAGTCACGCAACACAATCTACCTTTCAAAGCTGCCATGCTCAAGGAAGCTGGGTGATTTTTCATGGTTTCCAGGGCCAAGTCCCTGACGCTGTCACCCGTATGCCCTTGCATGGACATGGTTGGGGCATCTAGAAATATGCTCTGTATTCGGTGCGTGTGTGCACTGATGCTGGCCACGCAGAGCACCAAGGTCGTTCCATGTCTCGCGAAAGTTCCAGTGCCTAATGAAACAGGGTCAAGCATGAGGCTCACGTCCGAACAAATACCGAGCCCTGGAAGTGCTAGAGATAGGTCTAGTCCGTCCAGGTGGCGCATCGATGTAGCGGCCAAGTGGATGACATTTGTGTAAAACTCCCGGCCACGACAAGTGGTCCCGAACATCCCAGGACAAAGATCTGCCAAACTGGCCATATCTCTTTCATATTCCAAGCCAGTACGGTTCTCAAAACAGCAATACAAGGCCCGTTGCACAACTCGCTCTAACAGCACTGATTCTGAATCCACTTCACTCTGGGGCTTCGATGCAGGGGCGTCACCGTCATGCAAGGAAGTCTTGTTTTTTCGCTGCCACCAATCTGATAGAGATTGCTTTTGTACTGGAACCCATTCGTTTTGCTTCAAGCCCTCGATCCAAGCTCGGACACTGTGCGGCGACACTGCCAGCAGCTGGCTGACAAAGGCCACTTGCAAAGAGCACCTGTTCATGCCCTTGATATTCGGCAAATAGCTTTGACAGGCTTTGAGAATTCTTTTGGGTACCCGAAAAACGTTGGTCCATGCATTTCCGATCAGGACCAAAGCTTGTTGACTGATGGGAGCAAAGGGACTAATCCAAGAACCAACGTTGCTGCCTGGAAGCCATTGCCCTGGCACACACCTGTCCTCAACCTCGCCTTGGATATCATCATCTGCGTGCAAAAAGACATCTGATGGGTCAATGCATGCAGGCAAATTGCCTTGCGCTTCCTAGAGGGGAGGGGCGATGTAATCGACATGGGAGGGGCAGTGTCTTCACTCAGGTCGTAAACATATACTTTCAGCGGGCTTCGATTCTTTCGGGCCTGTAACCCAAGGGTCCCTAAGTTCAAAAACTGGACACACTAAAACAACCTAACGTGAAGTCCTCAATAGAAAGAAAACCATCTCTGTCTCCATCTTCCTCTGCTATGAAATCAGATTGCAGAAACTGCTCATCAGGACCAGAACTCTCAGAACTGCTTGCAAGCGCAAGTGATTTTGCACTTTCAGCTGGGCTTAGGAAACCCGAACTTGAGTCATCATCCCCCATGCGCGCGCAGCCATGGCATTCGTGAAGGCTCAGTGGACAATGTGCACCGACGGAAAAACATACATCATACCTCCACAATAAGTTTGTGGGAATGCTTCACTAGGATAAAAACTGGGACTCTTCGCAAAACGAAAGAAATTCTTGAGTTCTGACATGCAGAAAGCGTGGGCATAATTTTTGTAGCACGCACTAATCAACGTGGCATCCGCAATCGTCGCACATGTCAAATGCTGCGTTCTGAAACAGGAGCCGGGGTTGCTCGCCCAACTGGAAAAATCCACAAGGCTGTCGACATCTTTGAACAAATTGGTCAACAAATCGCGAGTGGCGGGGCCTGGATACAAAGCTAGCACTCATACTCATGCTCTGCGAACCCCTAAGACTCCTCTAAGGTATGGTGTGGGACCCGTTCGCAAGTGCAATGTTCTGTACATAGCACAGACAATCCCAAAAGCTGGCGCCCAAGCTTTATGATGTTCACGCGCCTGTGGTTCAAGCTTGCTATTCAGGTAACGGGCGCGTCCTGCGCAAGAAGTGTCTCGACAACCACAAATGTTTGCGCAATTAGCAACCAAAAAGCATCTTAACAACACTTCGCACCAATGATTGTGCATCGGACAGGATATCTGTCTGTCTTGTGACAGCTACCAACATCACAGTAAAAGCCGGCCAACGCAAAATTTAAGCTCCTCCCGAAGAGATCTCCAAGGTCCATGGTGCATCAATTCCTGCCGACCAGGACAAAAACACAATGCCCCAAATGCATCTGGAGGGTAGTGCTAGAAACTGTTTTGGGGCATTGCAGCATCGACCTTACGAAGTGCTACTGAGTCTACTGCTTTTGTTGGCTCGGGAAAAGTTGCAGCAGCATCCACGACCGTCAGCCCAACGCTCTGTTAACCCTTGTGTGCCCGAAGCTTGCGAGTACAAAAAATATGGTGTCCATGAGACAAAGCAAATCACTAATTCAAGCACAACCACGGAAAATACTTTGTCTCGTTCCTCTTTTGCCACTAATTGCAGTACACCCACCACATCCCGTCTCATGGCCTCCCGTGACATGAGATGACCAGGAGCAAAACCTGCGTCAAACAGAGTAGAGATCTTCGGCCGTCTCACAAACCAGCTTTTCAATCTTTGTGGTATTTGGCGCCCTTGTAACTCGCAATGCCCCAGCTGCAGCTGAAAGGGTGATCAAAACAAGTGCTTGGGGCATTCCACTTGGAGAACCCGATCGAGAAACCCAACTGGGGAACCCTTCAAAACATGTTTCTGCATCTCTTTTTTGGATTTCACCCTGTTGAAATGCGTTCTCACGAGTTTCCACGATTGCTACTCTTGGATATGTGATATACATGGGGTTCAAACAATCGTAGGTCTACAAATGCCATGTCTCATTCTCCACCAGTGCTGTGGGTGCAAGGCTGCTTTAGAGACATAAAACACGCGCGAAGCCATCCACAAGGTAGAATCATTGAAAATGATCGAAGCCTTGCGGAAGATCATTGGCAGCAACGCGCTCGATCTTGATGTCGCTTCCTTTATTGCCACCAGCCAGCCAGGCTGCATACACGCACAAGTGCAAGTCCGAGAAGTAGCAATGCGGCTCATCCGGCAAGGACTTCACCTATCAGTCAGATGGTAGGCGTGTGTGATGCTTGCACAGTTTCTTCCCAATCTTGTGCATGAACTGTGTCTCAACTCTTAAAATAGTTGAATTCAAGCTAGGTGTACGTTGGACATAAACCGAAATCGTACGCACCACTCGCTTTTGTTTGAGAGGGCGCTTATGCTGGTAGTGCACCCAGGGATTGCAGCCAAATGAACAAAACTCAATTGCTGCGAGGAGGGGAATCACAAGTACAGCTTTAAACTGAACTGAAAAAAGAATGGCTATTCCAATCAAAACCTCAAACCACTACCCACCCAATTTGGTGGCCAGCCTTGGAAACGAGATTTTTGAGCAAAATCTTCGTGGCGAGCTCGTGTGCATTCTGCGGACTGAAGAAGACCCATTTGCCTGCAAGCGGACATGCCTCAGCCGCAGCGTCGCCCTCTTCCGAAATCTTGACGCTGATAGTAGAAAAGGAGAGGGTCGCTTCGCGCAAGATGTTGCGATCGAGTAGGCAGCAGAACTTGCAACCAGGCTTGAACTCCAACAGGCCTCGCTCGAACAACCGCTGCATGTCCACGTCCAACTGAAGAATCGCAAACTCCTTTGACCCAAGCAAGTGAGCTTCAGCCCCACTCATCCGCCTTGCCATCATCCCTTTCGATGGGATGACAGGATCGCTGGTGGCGTAGCCAAGGGAGCGCCGCGTAGTCTTGAATCTCTGATAGACAGCCTTGCGCAAAGAATCCAGATCATTGACAAACAATCACACTCGTTGAACCTTGCTTCAAGAAATCATGAACAAAACGGCTTTAATATAATTTGGCGCCCCTTGCCTCAAGAGGAGACTCGTGGAAATACAGCCACTGAACCTCGCCATGCTGCACCGCATACGACACATGGTCATTCCACTCTGACCGAGCAAACGCCGCAAAGCCTGATGTCATGACGGTGAATCAGACCGCTATCAACTTTCAACGCAAACAAGTCTTGAGCCAGCTTGCTTCAGTAGACAGCGTTCGCTGCTGTTGCATGTGTAGACTTGAGAGAGGAGGGGGTGAACGAAAGGTAGCAAGCAATCACAAGTAACCCTGGTAGAAGTCCATGACGGCGTGAACCGGCGCAGCGGGGATTTGATCCAGGGAAGGGGGGGGGCCCCCTCCCGACGAACAGAATCAACTCTTACAGGACCAAATTCAATGCACAATCCCAACTCCTGATTGTAAAACATTTTTGCTAAAGCAAGGAGAACTCAGGTAGCTCAAGCTACCTTTCGTGACATGATCCATGATCGTCACCCAAATGTAACAACCCTTCAAAACTCTCACAATGGCCACCTCGGAACCCCAGAACTAACAGTTGACTCCTAAAGCAACTTTCAGGCATGATTGGGAGCCCTCTCAAGTAAACTCAATTGGTCAATTGATGGATTTGTTGACTCACCATCTCTCATCCAACGTTTCCCTGCCTTGATCACGAGCACACTCTGGAACATGCTGGACGCATTGCGTTCAAGGCCCGAGTCGTATATAGTCCAACAGTGATTCTGGCATGTGCGGTACCGATGCTACTGGCATTGGCATATAAAATTATATCATATTGCATGTGGTCGCTAGGGTGCGATTTGGGCATGAAAGCGACAAACATGCAGAACATGCCACCCTGAGTCTCAAATTCAATGACATGAAAAGTTGCATTTTGTGGGAACCCAAGGATTTGCCAAGCTTGAGCTGACCTGCGTGATCGCAGGCATCTGATGCGTCTGATGCCGAGCGAATCACTGGAGAAGCAAGTTCGGTGAAGCAACAAAACTAAAAATGTTTTTGACAATTGCAAGAATGTTGTCACTGCTTTGCGCCCCCCATCCTGATGCGCATCCCCGAGTAATGCAAAAAATGCTGGACAAACGGGCCAAAAGCTCACAACCGCCAATGAAGTTGTGAGCCCAAAAAAACAAAACATGCGAGGCTCCAAAAGAAACAAACCTGGAAACTGAGAATGATTGTTGCAAGGCAAGGTCTCTGAAGGTCTCTGTGTGTGTGTGCGCGTGAAATTGAGAGAGCTTCCACAACAACATTTGCCCAAAAAGCTTCGAACATATTCGAACCCATTCATGGAGTAGCGTTTGTGCTCAAAAAACAACTCCAAATTTCCTGCGTGCTGTGAAAGGTTGTGGGAATGCCTGCCGCAACCCTGCTCAAGGGCCTTGAAAACGTTTCAAATTACTTAACCTACAAAAAAACAAATGCCACAACAGGAAATGTATATTTCCGGTAATCATTTCACATGCGTTGGAACATGTTTGTCACGTGTGACCCTTCCAGATCCACCGGGTAGAAAACGCGGTGCGACGCCATTACGCCATGTTTGAGATCTTCCCTATGGGCTGAGTTCTCTCAGGCAGCTGTGCCTGGCTCTCACGCAATCTGGGGCATCTCATGGCCTGGGGCATCGCCTGGAGCGGATGACGTCCGTTCCAAAGTCGGTTTGCCACTGCAGTTGATCCAACAAGGCACATATGCGACTTCGAAGCGTGATGGATTTCTGAGTTATCATCGCCGGACCCAGGCTAACTCTGTGATGAACCTTGAAGATAGTTTTCAAAAAAACAGGCAAAAGCATAACACAAACAAATGAAAAAGCAAAAGCAAAAACAAAGCAAATCCACAAAGCAGAAAACAATGAAAAAGCAAGCGCAACAAATAAAAAAGGAGTGAAAGCAACTTTCCGCTGCTTTTCACCTTTTTTTTGTTGCTGTGTGCTTGCCTCTGCTTCTTTTGCTTTTTTGCATGCCCGCATTTTTCCGCAAGTGCTTTTAGCACTTTGTTCGTTTTTTTCCCCACCGGTGAGGGTTGTTAGATTTTACGTCAGCCCCATCTCCTCCTCCTCCTCCGCCTCGTCCTCCTCCGCCAGACCTCAACCGCGACCATCCACGCCCAGTGTTCCCTGCCGGACCTCAACCGCGAGCTCCAGACCCAAGTGTTCCCTGCCGGACCTCAACCACGACCATCCGCGCCCAGTGTTCCCTGCCGGACCTCAACCGCGAGCTCCGGACCCAAGTGTTCCCCACCGGACCTCAACCGCGACCATCCACGCCCACAGTGTTCCCTGCCGGACCTCAACCGCGAGCTCCAGGCCCAAGTGTTCTCTGCCGGACCTCAACCATAGCACAACGCAACCACAAGCACAACCACAAACACAATCACAAACACAACCGCGAACACGTAATCACAAGCGCACAACCACAACCACAACCACAACACAACACAAAACCACAAACACAATTGCAAACACGTAACCACAAACACAATCACAAACAACACACTACAAACACAATCACAATCACAAACACGCAACCACCAACACAATCACAAACACGCCACCACAAACACACAACCACCAACACGCAACCACAAACACAATCACAAACACACAACCACAAGCACAACCACAAACACAATCACAGATGCAACCACAAACACACAACCACAAACATAAACACAATCACAAACACAACCACAAACGCAACCACAAACTTCAAACACACAACCACAAACACACAATCACAAACACACAATCACAAACACAACCATAAACACCCAACCACAAACACACAACCACAAACACAACCACGGCCACAATCACAAACACGCAATGACACGCACACAACCACACACACAACCACAGCCACAAGGACAAAAACGCAACCACAACCACAAAGACAATCACAAACGCAACCACAAACACACAACCACAAACACAATCACAAACACACAACAACAAACACGTAGTCACAAGCACACAACCGCAAACGCAACCAGAACACACTACTACAACAAGAACTCCTACTACTACTACTACGACGACTACTACTACTACTACCTCCGCTACTACCGCTACTACTACTACTACTACTACTACTACCACCACCACCACCACTGCCACTGCCACTCCTACTCCCACTACCACTACTCCTACTGCTAGTACTACTGCTGCTACCACTACCACTACCACTACCACTACTACTGCTACTACTGCTGCTACTACTACTACTACGACTACTCCGACTACTACTACTACTACCACTACCACTACTACTACTACTACTACTACTACTACTACTACTACTACTACTACTACTCTACTACCGGAAGTTTCCCAGGTTCGGGCCCCGAAGCTCGGGCCCGGAACTGTGTCCAACAGCAACTACACGACCACGACCACGACCACGACCACTCCTACTGCTACTGCTACTGCTACTCCTACTACTACTACAACTACTACTAGTACTACTACTACTACTCTACTACTTCTGCTCGGGCCCTGGAAGTTTCCCAGGTTCGGGCCCTGAAATACACAACGAGGGTGATGTCAACGTGGCTGTATTGAAATGTCATCGTGGGGATCACTCGAAGTAAAGTAACTTTTTGTGTTTGTTCGCTTATTTGTTCGATTGTTTTGGTGTGTTTTGCTTTTCATTTATATTATATATATATGCATGCTTTTCGCTTTTTGTTTTGTGTTTGTTTTCCGCTTTTTGATGTTCTAATATGCTGTGTGTTTTGTTTTTTTGGATTTGTTTATTTTTTTGTTGGTTTTGCTTGTTCATTTGTTTTTGCGTTTTGGAGTTGCTTTTGTTTAGCTTTTGCTTTTTCATTTGCTGTTTGTTTGATTTGTTTTTTATGTTTTTTTGCTTTTGCTTTTTCATTTGTGTGTTTTTCTTGTTTTCTTTATTTTTGGATTTGTTTTTGTGTTTTTGCTTTTTAATATAGTCTTAGTTGTTGTTTTTGTAATTTGTATGTTTTTTATTTGGAAAAACCATCAGAGTAGCCTACGTGGTTTTCTTAAATCTAGAGATGCGAGACTGGCAAACACACTGAACGTCAACGTGCAAGCCCCCTTTAGCTCCAAACATGCAAGTACAAATGATTGGGTGTCGGCACCTCTCTCCAAAGCATTCGAGAAAGGACTAAAAAGGGACCATACAACCCTCCACGGAACCAATGAGCATTCCTTCATTGTCCCCGTCGTTGATCATCGGCTGATCCTCTGAGATGCAGCATAGCAGCATTCTCCGATTCACGCAGGAGTGCACTCACCGATAATGGAACACATCCGCTCCGTGGACCCCAAGGCCAACAAAACCTGGTGACCTAGTTCCAACTGGACCTACCAACCTCCATTCCCAAGTTCTTCCACACAATTGAATGCTTTAGGATGTTTCAGGTCTCAAATGATCAATGACTTGCCGCGGAAGCTGGGACTGGTCCGTCGTCCATTTCGCACGAAGCACCCCACGTCGCTGCGCGCCACGTCGCACGAAGCGCCTCAGTGGCCATGATGCCCGTGCCCATTCTTCTGCGCGTGGAGGCACTCCCCGTACGCCTGGCACCAACGGTCTTGGCGAAGCAAAGACCCAAACAACGCCGAGAAATGGCACCTCTCACCAACAACGTCACGAAAATTCAAGGTGTCCCCCGGTGGCATTTTACGAACAGGGGGTGCCATCCACTTCCATGTGATGTGTAGAGTGTACATCGACCCGCAGCTCTTGACTCCAACCCCACCATCGGTTGGAATAGAACCCCCCATGACCCATGGATATACCATATCCGCATGATGGTCGCACGAGGTCTGTCTGTCAAATCAGTTTGAATTTGCGCATGGGACTTCCATACAAATGAAAAAAGCACAAATAATAGATAAATGATAGATCTATATACTATATATTCTATAATGTTCATAATAGATGTGAATAGTGGTATTCCAGTTCCATCGCTGGACGTCATGCTGTCAAAATCTGTCAAACGTCATCTCAATCTTATACCCTCCTCTACATCCAACCCAAGTGCCAAAGCACCAAGTGATGAACACACCAACCCACACATACACATTCAGCAGTAAGGAGGAACACCCCGGGTCCCATTCGAATTCCAACCCACCAGCAACTTGAGGCCCCACTTCTGAGGGCCTTTTTCATCTCGTACTGAAACTTGTAGGAATCAT